AACCAGCCGGGAATTCAGAGGCCGCAGATTAAGTGCATCATTTCATCTGATAAATTGGGTGCATGCCCCCCCCCGCCTCCCCCCCCAGCCACTCAGGGAAATTGGAGCTTTTCCAGACAGGGCCCTCTTTAAAATTGGCTGGCTGTCAGTCTGTTTTTGTGTGTGTGTGTGTGTGCGTGCATTTAAAAGTTGTGTTGAACGAAAGAGAGCTGCAGCCGATCTGCAACAGGATCGTAGAGGATGAGTAAAAAAAAAAAAAAAAAAACATCCATTTTTTTTGTCTCGGACGGTCACTAGCCGAGCAGAGCAAGACCCCTGGACAGGATTTGGACAGAGTTTTCTGGGCAAGACAGGAACAAGCTGATGGGTGAGAAGAGTTAATTGGCTGCAGAGCGGAGTTTTCCGAGAAATGCACCCGAATTGCACAAATGACCTCACCAGTGGTGGGAAAAGCGGCTCTCCAGCCTCCAATTAATCTCGGTGGCTTCTCTCCTGGATGAGTTTCCATCCGTTGCTTCTGGTCCCACCCTCAGAGGCTTTGCAGAAGAGGTGGAACCCCCCCCCTCTTCTCAGGGGCTGCCCCAAAGAAGAGGGAGTCAAGCTATTCTCCAAAGCGCCTGAAGGCAGGACAAGAAGCAACAGTGGAAACTAACCAAAGAGAGAAGCAACCTAGAACTAAGGAGAAACTTCCTGACAGTTAGAACAATTAACCAGTGGAACCACCTGCCTCCAGAAGCTGTGAATGCTCCAACACTGGAGGTTTTTAAGAAAAGACTGGATAGCCCTTTGTCTGAAATGGTATCGGGTTTCCTGCCTGAGCAGGGGGTTGGACTAGATGACCTCCAAGGTCCCTTTCTATTCTATTCTATTCCATTCCATTCTATTCCCTATTCTGTTCTGTTCTGTTCTATTCTATATCCCAATATGTATTCTATTCTATTCTATTCTATTCTATTCTATTCTATTCTATTCTATTCTATTCTATTCTATTCTATTCTATTCCATATTTTCTATTCTATTCTATTCTATTCTATTCTATTCTATTCTATTCTATTCCATTCCATTCCATTCCATATTTTCTATTCTATTCTATTCTATTCTATTCTATTCTATTCTGTTCTATTCTATTCCATTACATTCCATTACATTCCATATTTTCTATTCTACTCTATTCTATTCTATTCTATTCTATTCTATTCTATTCTATTCTATTCCATATTTTCTATTCTATTCTATTCTATTCTATTCTATTCTATTCTATTCCATTCCATTCCATTCCATTCCATATTTTCTATTCTATTCTATTCTATTCTATTCTATTCTGTTCTATTCTATTCCATTNTATTTTCTATTCTATTCTATTCTATTCTATTCTATTCTATTCTATTCTATTCTATTCTATTCTATTCTATTCCATTCCATATTTTCTATTCTATTCTATTCTATTCTATTCTATTCTATTCTATTCTATTCTGTTCTGTTCTGTTCTATTCTATTCTATTCTATTCTATTCTATTCTATTCCATCCATTCCATATTTTCTATTCTATTCTATTCTATTCTATTCTATTCTATTCTATTCTATTCTATTCTATTCTATTCTATTCTATTCTATTCTAGACTTTATAGAATAGAACAGTGAGGGCGAACCTTTTAGAGACTCATTGCCCAAATTGCAACCCAAAACCCACTTATATATCGTTGGCTGCCGGGTGGGCGTGGCCCATTGGATGGGTTTGGCCAACTGGGTGGGCGTGGCCCATTGGGTGGGCGTGGCTGCTGTGGTAACGGCAGACTGGGTGGGACTAAAAAGCTCGTTCAATTAATTCCAACTTTGCGAGATCTTTTTGTTTCCCCCGCAAAAAGTTGAAATTAGAATAACAGAATTGGAAGAGACCTTATAGGTCATCTAGTCCAACTCCCTGCACCATTTCTGACCGATGGCAGTCCAGTCTCTTCTTGAAAGCTTCCAGGGATGAAGCTCCCACAACCTCTGAAGGCAACTCCTGTTCCATCGGTTGATTGTTCTCACTGTCAGAAAATTCCTCCTCATTTCCAGGTTGAATCTCTCATCAGTTTCCATCCGTTCTTCCTTGTCTGGCATTCAGGTGCTTTGGAAGACAGGTTGACCCCCCCTCCTCTCTGTGAAACCCCCCCTCAAATATTGGAGCACTGCTATCACATCTCCCCTGGTCCTTCTCTTTCCTAGACGAGCCATGGCCGGTTCCTGCAAGATGGCAGCTGCCTCCAAGTGGTTGTAGCCCCACCCCTTTAAGAGGGGAGTTTGACCACCAGGTTGCAGCTGCCCTCTTGAAGTAAAGCCCACCCATCGTAACCTCCTACCTGATGCAACCGATAAGGGGGAGAAAGGTGGCTACTGATTTAATCCTGGGTTGATTTTGTCTTAAGGCTGTCAAAGAGTCGGCCGGAGGAACCGAGCACGAGGTCCAGATTTTGGAGACACAGGAAGGGATGGAAGAGAAGGAGGAAAGCTGCCCCATGGCTCAAGTGTCTCCCCAACCCAAGGCCAACTTCAGCTCACCATCGCCGTCCAGCCCCAGGACCTCGCTGTACCCCCAACGTCACGCGGATCCGTATGACTCCAGGAAGTATTTTGTAACACGCGTGAGTCAACTCAACCATTGTGGGGGGATCTTCATGGGGTTGGCAAGGGGGGTGGGGGTAGGGTCACGACATGGCTGTCACTGGGGTGGCCTCTTGAGTAAAGACCCAAGATCTGGATAGACTCAGGAACTCTGGGTCCTTCTCCAGGTGGGCCCTATCTTCCCTGTTCCACACCCCAGATGCAGGATTTGGGCTTGTGGTCCAGTTGTAATGAACACCATTGGGGGTTAAGGAGACCCCAATTTGCACTCCTGCTTGAGAAGGAATCCAAGAGATCTCATTTCTTTGGGGGTGACAGTATTCTGGAGAAGACAATCAAGCAATGAATCAGCGAACACCTAGAGGCCAACAAAGTCCTTACCCAAAGCCAACATGGGTTTGTCAAAAACAGATCATGCCGGACAAGTCTTATTGCATTCTTTGACCAGTTGACAAAATTAGTGGACCAGAGGAATGCTGTGGATATAGTTTACCTGGATTTCAGTAAGGCATTTGATAAAGTAGATCACAACCTACTACTTGACAAGATAGAAAAATGTGGAGTAGACAGCATCACCACCAGATGGATCCGTAGCTGGCTGACCGGCCGTACTCAGTGTGTGGTCCTCAATGGAACCGCATCTACATGGAGGGAAGTGAGTAGTGTGGTGCCCCAGGGCTCTGTTCTGGGCCCAGGGCTCTTCAACATCTTCATCAACGATCTGGACGAGGGGATAGATGGGGAACTCATCAGATTTGCAGACGACACCAAGCTGGCAGGAATAGCCAACACTCCAGAAGTTACAGGCTTAGGATACAGGAGGATCTGGACAGACTTGAACACTGGGCGCTATCTAACAAAATGAAATTCAATGGTGAAAAAAGCAAGGTTCTACATTTAGGCAAGAAAAACCAAATGCACAGGTGTAGTATGGGGGGTACCTTGCTCAATAGTAGTAACTGTGAGAGGGACCTCGGAGTCCTAGTGGACAATCCCTTCAATAGGAGCCAGCCGTGTGCTGCAGCTGCCAAAAAAGCCAACACAGTGCTGGGCTGCATTAACAGAGGGATAGAATCAAGATCATGTGAAGTGTTAATACCACTTTACAATGCCTTGGTAAGGCCACACTTGGAATACTGCATCCAGTTTTGGTCACCACGATGTAAAAAAGATGTTGAGACTCTAGAAAGAGTGCAGAGAAGAGCAACAAAGATGATTAGGGGACTAGAGGCTAAAACATACAAGGAACGGTTGCTGGAATTGGGTATATCTAGTTTAATGAAGAGAAGGACGAGGGGGGATATGATAACAGCATTCCAGTATCTCAGGGGCTGCCGTAAAGTACGGGGGGTCCACCTATTCTCCAAGGCGCCTGAAGGGCAGGACAAGAAGCAACGGATGGAAACTAATCAAGGAGAGAAGCAACCTAGAACTAAGGAGAAACTTCCTGGCAGTGAGAATGATAAACCAGTGGAACTGCTTGCCACCAGAAGTTGTGGATGCTCCAACACTGGAAGCTTTTAAGAAGAGACTGAACAGCCATCTGTCTGAAATGATATAGGGTCTCCTGCCTGAGCAGGGGGTTGGACTAGAAGACCTCCAAGGTGCCTTCCAAACTTAGTATTCTATGTTCTAACGAAGAAAAGAGATGAATTTCTTCAAGGGGGGGGGAAGCACATGGTGGGAACCCCAGCACTGTCTCAACCCCAGATCTACACACAGGATGTGTGAATGCGTAGGAGCTGGGGTCCACGGGCAACCCGAAAGATGGTAAACGTAGTACTTGCAAATTTACCCTCTTCTCAAAGTTGGTCTCGGAGGAGCGGGATGCCCCTCAAGGACTTCTGGATTTGATCTTCATCAGCAGGAGATAAGCCACCTTCGTCAGAGATGGAAGCCTGGAGATTTGGCTTTCCTTCTGGGTGGTGTTCACTCCCCCATGGCAGGTGTTTAGAGACAGGTGGGAACCCCCAGGAGGCTGGAGGGACAGGTGAGGGGACGTAGTAGGAACTCCAAACCGGCTTGTGGCTTTTACCATCTTCCTCTTCCTCCCTCCTATTTTTAGCCAGGAGCCTTCGATCAAGCCATGGAGGACCTCAAAGCCCATCTGGCAGCCAGCAAAGGAGAGGCGGCGCGCAGCTTCTGGCTACTCACTGAGTAAGCACCACAGAGGTCTTGTAGTTGTTTGTGCTTCTCTGCAGGCCCAGAGTTGTTTACGCTAAATCAAGCCCAATTCAGGGGATTCTCAAGTTACGACCGTTATCGAGCTTGGCAAATACGGTCGTAACTCAACGACGGATGTCAAGCGCAAAAGACACGGCCAGAAACCCATTTTACGGCCTTTTCTGCGACGGTCATAAAGCGAACGTGGCGGTCGTTAAGGGAAACCCACTGTTGGCTATGGGCCGGTTTTCGGGAGAGGCTGGCAGTCAAGACAGATTTCCTCCCCAAAAACGTCCAAATAAAGCAAAGCCACGTGGCGGTAGAGCTTTAAATGACGGCTGTTTGTTGAGTTGCAATAGTGGCGCACATAATAATAATCTTAATAATAATAATCTTAATAATAATAATCTTAATAATAATAATTTTAATAATAATCTTAATAATAATAATCTTAATAATAATCTTAATAATAATAATCTTAATAATAATAATAATCTTAATAATAATCTTAATAATAATAATCTTAATAATAATCTTAATAATAATAATCTTAATAATAATCTTAATAATAATAATCTTAATAATAATAATCTTAATAATAATCTTAATAATAATAATCTTAATAATAATAATCTTAATAATAATCTTAATAATAATAATAGTAATAATAATAATAATAACAACAGTAATAATGATAATGATGATGATGTTGGAAGGGACCTTTGAGGTCATCTAGTCCAACCCCCTGCTCAGGCAGGAAAGCCTACACCATTCGGACAGATGGCTGTCCAGTCTCTTCTTAAAAACTTCCAATGTTGGAGCATTCACCACTTCTGGAGGCAGGTGGTTCCACTGGTTAATTGTTCTCACTGTCAGGAAGTTTCTCCTTAGTTCCAGGTTGCTTCTCTCCTTGATTAGTCTTTACCCGTTGCTTCTTGTCCTGCCTTCAGGGGCTTTGGAGAATAGCTTGACTCCCTCTTCTTTGGGGCAGCCCCTGAGATACTGGAAGGCTGCTATCATGTCCCCCCTCGTCCTTCTCTTCATTAAACTAGACATCCCCAATTCCAGCAACCGTTCCTTAACCGGCAAGTGAATTAAGAATATAATAGGAATGGTACCCTATCTTGATTGTCCCAACGGTGCTTTTTCAAAAAGACTGCTGGACTTTTGGGCTGCCCCAAAGAAGAGGGAGTCAAGCCGTTCTCCAAAGCCCCTGAAGGCAGGACAAGAAGCAACGGGTGGAAATTAACCAAGGAGAGAAGCAACTCAGAACTAAGGAGAAACTTCCTGACAGTGAGAACAATTAACCAGTGGAACTCCTTGCCTCCAGAAGCTGTGAATGCTCCAACACTGGAAGTCTTTAAGAAGAGACTGGACAGCCATTTGTCTGAAATGGGATAGTGTTTCCTGCTTGAGTATAGGGGGTTGGACTAGATGACCTCCAAGGTCCCTTCCAACTTTATTGTTATTGTTATTGTTATTGAAGTGTTTTCAAGGAAAGAAAACAAGCAGGGAAGTCCATTTGCCTTTTCAAAAAAAAAGCACCTTTGGGGCAATCATGACCTGGAGGATGGAGCGTCTCCATAGATACCCCGTCTTGATTGCAGTGATACACACAAACACACACAAAGATACACAAACCGGCTTTATTCAGCTTGTAAATCGCCCGGGGGTGGGTGGAATGGGTGATTCATTGAATGCCAGTTTTACAGTCTTCCTTCCCGCTCTCCCTTTAATGGGTCTCTTCCCGCTTCTCTCCTTTACTCCAGAATTAAATTCTGCATTCTTTGGGGAATGTTTGTTTGTTGTGATGAATGTATGTATCCTAATCGTCCCTAAAAGAAATTCCTTCGGCTCAGTAGCAAATATTTCAAATTGAATTTGAACATTTTGCCTTCTCTAGGGGCTGCTTCGGAAGGGCCCAAAATAGTCGTTTCTGCTGGCTTGGCAGAAATTATTTAATTGTCAACTCCCGCAAACTCAGACATTATTATATATAACAGGAGAAAATTGACTTAATAAAGTTTCTGGCAGAGTGAAGAGCACAGATTTATGCTCCTGTACTGCCACCCGGAGGACACAAGGAGAACTGCAGCTTAGCTCCTTTTTCAGTTGTGCTTCCTGTTTGGGGGGCAAGCGTGGACTTCAACTCCCAGAATTCCCAGGCTGGCTGGGGAATTCTGGGAGTTGAAGTCCACGCGTCTGAAAGCTGCTGAGGTAGGTTGGAAAAGCCTGCTCTACAGCTGATAAATTCAAAATAACTTTTCAACTAGAAAAGGCCCCAAATCTTTTCCAACTCTTAGGTTATAATAAAAAAAATATGGGGATTTCCACGTCTTTTGTTATTCCTGGCCTTTGACAAGGATTGCACAATGGTTGGAAACTAACCAAGGAGAGATCAAAACCTAGGACTAAGGAGACACTTCCTAATGGTGAGAGCAGTTAACCAGTGGAACAGCCTGCCTCCAGAAGTTGTGGGTGCTCCCACATTGGAGGTTTTTTAAGAAGAGACTGGACAGCCATTTGTCAAAAAATGGTATGGGGTCTCCTGCCTGAACAGGGGGTTGGACTAGACGACCTCCAAGGCCCCTTCCAACTCTGTTATTCCATTATTCTGCATTCAGTTGAAGCTCCACCTGGTTTTTAATGTGCAGTACAGGCAAAATTAGGTGGAGCTTCAATTCGATCCTTGCAATCGTCAGGTTGACTTTTTTGACCATTGGGTGGCTGCACTAATCCCTGGGCTAAATTCCCATAAGGCAGGGAAGCCCGAGTTTATCACTTATCGGACTTTAAATGCATTAGATCATGTTTCCATCCATGGATCCCCTAAAGAGTGAACTTCCAACTTTGTTATTCTATGTTCTATGTTGTAAATCTGCTCAGAATCAGAATAGACCTGGAAGGGACCTTGAAAGGTCATCTAATCCAGCCCCCTGCTCAAGAATAGAATAGAATAGAATAGAATAGAATAGAATAGAGAAAAGGAATAGAATAGAATAAAGAATAGAGTAGAATAGAATAGAATAGAATAGAAGAGAGAAAAGGAATAGAATAGAATAGAATAGAATAGAATAGAATAGAATAGAATAGAATAGAATAGAATAGAAGGGAACTTGGAGGTCTTATAGTCCAACCCCCTGCTCAGGCAGGAAACCCTATACAATTTCCGACAAATGGCTGTCCAGTTTCTTCTTAAAAAACTCCAGTGATGGAACACCCACAACTTCTTGTGGCAAGCAGTTCCACTGGTTAATTGTTCTGACTGTCAGGAAATTCCTCCTTGGTTCTAGGTTGCTTCTCTCCTTGATGAGTTTCCATCCATTGCTTCTTATCCTGTCTTCTTCAGGTGCTTTGGAGAATAAGTGGACCCCCTCTTTTTTGAGGCAGCCCCCCAAATATTGGAAGGCTGCTATCATGTCCCCCCTAGTCCTTCTTTTCTCTAGACTGGCCAAAACCAAAATCTGATGCCGTTCTTCAAAGGTTTTACTTGCTTTCTCCTGGGCAGAAATTGGGGATCCAAGTTGCCCAGAATCTCCTTGCTATTTGCCCTTCCTGTGCTTCCTTCCCAGGATCGATCACTGGAACGTCGAGAAGGAACGGATCGTGATGCTCACTGACGCTGCCCTCCTGGTGTGCAAATATGACTTCATCATGCTCAAATGCCTGGATCTCCAAAGGATCCCTCTGCGCTACATCGAGAGGATCTCCACGGGACCCTTCGCTTTTCCAGAGAAGTCTTTGGACAGGTGAGGCTCCGCGGCTCATCAATGGGGAGGGAAGGGATCTAGTAGCTTTCCAAGGGGGGGTGCATTTCAACCACTGACATGAACACCATGGAAACCCCATGTTGATTGCTGACTGGGTAGGATCTCCTGGGGGGGGGGAAGTCGAGAGGGTGTTTGGGTGCAATCCCAAAAATGCTTTTCCAAAAGGTAACTGGATGTTTTTGATTAGGTAAGACAAAACAAATGTACAGGTATAGTATAGGGGGTACCTTGCTCAATAGTAGTAACTGTGAGAGGGACCTCGGAGTCCTAGTGGACGATCCCTTAAATAGGAGCCAGCCATGTGCTGCAGCTGCCAAAAAGGCCAACACAGTGCTGGGCTGCATTAACAGAGGGAGAGAATCAGGATCACGTGAAGTATTAATACCACTTTACAATGCCTTGGTAAGGCCACACTTGGAATACGGCATCCAGTTTTGGTCACCTCGATGTAAAAAAGATGTTGAGACTCTAGGAAGAGTGCAGAGAAGAGCAACAAAGATGATCAGGGGACTGGAGGCTAAAACATACAAGGAACGGTTGCTGGAATTGGGAATGTCTAGTTTAACGAAGAGAAGGACAAGGGGGGACATGATAGCCGTCTTCCAGTATCTCAGGGGCTGCCCCAAGGAAGAGGGAGTCAAGCTATTATCCAAAGCGCCTGAAGGCAGGACAAGAAGGAACGGATGGAAACTGATCAAGGAGAGAAGCAACCTGGAATTAAGGAGAAACTTCGTAACAGTGAGGACAATTAACCATTGGAACTCCTTGCCTCCAGAAGCGGTGAATGCTCCAACACTGGAGATTTTTAAGAAGAGACTGGACAGCCATTTGTCCGAAATGATGTAGGGTTTCCTGCCTGAGCAGGGGGCTGGACTAGATGACCTCCAACCCTGTTATTCTGAGTTGAAGGCAGGCAGGTGGCCGGGAAATCCCCTGGTGGGTTTTCCCTCCATCCTTCAGCAGGTGGCACTCTTCTCTCTGGAGATGGCATGGCTGGCCTTCTCAGCAGGAACTCACAGGCTGCCCAAGAACTGGGTACCTCAGTCCACGTCGCCTTTGCCTGCCCTGGCTCACCTTGCTCAGGAGAGAGAGAGAGAGAGAGAGAGAGAGAGAGAGAGAGAGAGAGAGAGAGAGAGCAAAACAGAGAAAGAAAAAGAGAGCAAGAGAGAGAAAAAAAAAGAGAGCAAGAGAGAGAGCAAGAAAGAGAGAAAGAGAGCAAAAGAGAGAGAGAAAGAGAGAGAGAGCGAGAAAGAGGGGGAAAGAGAAACAGAGCAAAAGAGAGAGAGTGTGTGTGAGAGAGAAAGAAAGCAAACGAGAGAGATAGTGAGAGAAAGAGAAAGAGAGGGGGAAGAGGGGGAAAGAGAAACAGAGCAAAAGAGAGAGAGAGTGTGTGTGAGAGAAAGAAAGAACAAAAGAGAGAAAGAGAGAGAAAAAGAGACGGGGGAAAGAGAAACAGAGCAAAAGAGAGAGTGTATGTGAGAGGAAAGAAAGAGCAAGAGAGAGAGAGAGAGAGAAAGGAGAGGGAGGAGGAGAGAGGGGAAAAGAGAAGAATGAGCAAAAGAGAGAGAGAAAGAGAGAAAGAAAGAGATGGGGGAAAAGAGAAACAGAGAGCAAAAGAGAGAGTGTATGTGAGAGAGAAAGAAAGCAAAAGAGAGAGAAAAAGAGAGAAAAAAAAGAGGGGAGAAAGAGAAACAGAGAGCAAAAGAGAGAGTGTGCGTGTGTGAGAGAAAGAAAGAGCAAAAGAGAGAGAAAGAAAGCAAAAGAGAGAGAAAGAGAGAAAGAGGGGGGAAAGGGGGGAAAGAGAAACAGAGAGCAAGAGAGAGTGTGTGTGTGTGTGAGAGAGAGAAAGAGTAAAAGAGAGAGAAAGAGAGAAAGAAAGGAGGGAAAGAAGGGGGAAAAGAGAAACAGAGCAAAAGAGAGAGTGTGTGTGTGAGAAAGAAAGAGCAAGAGAGAGAGAAAGAGGGGGGAAAGAAACAGAGAGCAAAAGTGTGTGTGTGTGTGAGAGAGAGAGAGAGAGAGAGAGAGAGAGAGAAAGAAAGAGAGAGAGAGAGAGAGAGAGAGAGAGAGAGAGAGAGAGAGAGAGAACATGGCCCCTAAACCCCGGGTGGCATCTCAGGGCGAGGACCTCCTCCGAGTTGGAAGGGACCTGGCATTTTTGCACACTTGAGGCCAGCTAAAAACTTCCACCCATGCCTTCTTCTGTAACCACCATTCCTGGTCTCTTCTTTCCTCACATTGCAAGCGAGCCAGGACAGGGCTTATTTCGCACGGCTGTTGACCGTTGCGCAAGACTTCTTTGGCCGTGCAGCTTTTGACCTGATCCGACCCCACTTCCTAAACCTGGAGACCTCGAGGAGCCCTCTGGGATCCAGGCAGGAACCCAGGAATTCTTGACTTGCTTAATCCCACTTCACGTGTCCTTCGACGGTTCTCAGTTTCAGCCGTTGGTGGTGGTGGTGGGGGGGTCTTCACACCCAGCCCTCTTGCTAAGGGGGGGGGGGTCCTTTTTCCAGACAGGCCCCTTCTCTTTTGCAAGCTCATCAGTTTCTCTCTCTCTCCGATCTGTGTATAGGTTTACTTCCCTTCTGTCCTGTTCTCATCATACGCTAAATAAGTTTAATAACCTGCAAGATTTTACAACGAAACACCAGGAAATGGACATGGGGGTGAATGGAGAGGGTCAGCTGGGCTGGGGGGGGAGAGGGGGAAACACCAGAGGAAGGGTCTGGGGGCTGACCCTGAACAAGGGGGCACGGTCCCCAGATTAGATAACCTTTATTGTTATTTTTTTTTCCTGTGGGCCCAATGGCACACATGAAAAATGAAATTGGAAATGAAAGAGAAAGACGATTCAGTTTACTTTAAAACTTGGGGAAAATGTTTTCTCAATGGTTCGAGACAGGTTAGAATGCGAAAAGAACTTCGAATTTTAGAATAGATGATAGATTTTATTTTTATTTTTGAATAGTTTTTATTAATTTTTCATTAAAAAAAAAACAAAAACATAAATCTTTTATCGCAATATCATACAGAAAAAAGAAATAAACATCAAACAATACATTCAAGATGGTGTCCGGTGTCCCCCTCCCGCATCCCTCTCTCACTTACCTACACCTTCCTCCTCCTTATCTACCACCACTCCTCCTTCCTCCCTCTTTCTACTTCCTTTCACCCTCTTTCTTCCCGTCAGTGCAGTCGGGGTATCACCGGGCACCTCCCTGAAAAATCATACATATATATATATATATATACACCTAAATCTATAAGAAACCTAACCCTTTCCCCCCTCCCCCCCAAGACTTCCCAAAGCTAACCTAGGAAATCAATACACAATCATCCAATGCTAATCAAAACAACACTACTCATTATTATTACACACTAATACAAAATTACTGTGACTCTAAAATAATCAATATGTACCTATTTTTGTTTTTCTAAATTTTAATCAAAAGCAACATAATAATTTTTCAGTTCATACTTTCTCTGAATATAATCTATCCATCTTCTCCATATTAAAATGAATTTATCCTGAGAATGCTCCTTCAGGTATGCGGATATCTTTGCCATCTCTGCAAAATATGATACTTTCTGTCTCCATTCATCCATAGTTGGTAATATCTTTTTTTTCCAATTTTGAGCAACTAATGTCCTTGCTGCAGTTATACAATACAACATCAGTGACATTTCTTTTGAATCCAAATTATCCATAATACCCAATAAAAAGAACTGCGCTGTAAATTTTATCTTTTTCTTTAAAATCTGTTGAATATTCCACCAAATCTTAATCCAAAAAGCTTTAATATCCCTACAAGTCCACCAGATATGATAGTAAGTAGCATCCATACTACCACATCTCCAACATTTTGGTTGCAAATTCGAATACATGCAAGACAATTTTTGAGGATCCAAATGCCATCTATAAAACATTTTATAAAAAATTTCTCTTAAGTTCTGTGCTTGAGTGAACTTGACATTTCTTACCCAAACTTTTTCCCAAGTTTCCAAATTAATTGGTTCTTGGATATTTTGAGCCCATTTTATCATACAATCAGATGATAGATTTTTAAGTAAGTTTCCGTTCTTAGGTTAATACCATCGTTGTTTTTAGGGATTTTTAATTGCTAATGTTGAGAGTTATGATGAGTTGAGATTTTATTAATTACGCTTATCTCTATGGAGGAATTTTATCTGTTTATCAATCTTTAGTAATATGGTTAGAGTTAATCTTATTTTAAAATGGCTGAGTAAGATATAATAATAATAATAATAATAATAATAATAATAATAATAATAATAATAATAATAATAATAATAATAATAATGGTAAAGTTGGGAGGGACCTTGGAGGTCATCTAGTCCAACCCCCTGCTCAGGCAGGAAACCCTATACCATTTTGGACAAATGGCTGTCCAGTTTCTTCTTAAAAACTTCCAGTGTTGGTGGAGCATTCACCGCTTCTGGAGGCAGGTTGTTCCACTGGTTAATTGTTCTAATTGTCAGGAAGTTTCTCCTTAGTTCTAGGTTGCTTCTCTCCTTGGTTAGCTTCCACCTGTTGCTCCTTGTCCTGACTTCAGGTGCTTTGGAGAATAGCTTGACTCCCTCTTCTTTGGGGCAGCCCCTGAGATACTGGAAGACTGCTATCCTGTCTCCCCTCATCCTTCTCTTCATTAAACTGGACATACCCAATTCCAGCAACCTTATATTTTTAGCCTCCAGTCCCCTGATCATCTGTGTTGCTCTTCTCTGTACTCTTTCCAGAGTCTCAACATCTTTTTTACATCGTGGTGATCAAAACTGGATGCAGTATTCCAAGTGTGGCCTTACCAAGGCCTTGTAAAGTGGTATTAATACCTTTGATCCGGACGGTAGCTTGTTTGTTAGAGTATGAGATTATTGTTGGGGGTTACCCCACTACTGTACCTACCCTCTTTCCATCCCAAATTCCCCATGCCCTTCCCCTCCCCATACTTGCACTCTCC